GCCATACTTAAAGCATAAACCGTATATCTCATTCTCAAGGCGATTTCCAATTGTACAACGCGCTCAAATTGAATATTTAGTTCGTCGTTTGTCGTTGGCGTTGTCTGGGAACGGACAGGCTCTCTCTCCCTCGTGCTTGTTGTGTCAGTTGTAAGCGTGCCGAGCGACGCTCCGGTCGCAACGTCTCCGAACGGTTCTCAATTATACTGCCCACAGCAAACCCGCCCCCAAACGTACCGAGCTCTATTTTCTATTTTTCTTTCACTTTATTAAATCGCGTGTGAATCGCTCAGCTGTTTGCTGTGTGTGCTTGTTTACGCCGGACAAATGGGCGAAGCCCTCCTCGATCTTGACCTTGAATTGGTTTAGGGGTTAGAAGAACAACAATTGTAACTAACCTTGCCTGTGGCTCAAGGGGAACAGTCAAATATCTAGAAGCTGCCTCAGATATTCCGAAATCCTTTAAGAGTCTTAGCCCAGAGCACGGAAGAAAAATATTGGAAAACTAGAGCTAGTTTTTCCTAAGTCAATTACCAGTATTTGTTTTACGTTCAGTTCTGCTGGAAATCAAGAAAACATTTGTCTGATATACCTTCAGAACTTAAGGATAAGCGAAAACATCTAAAATTTCAGATATTTTGGAAAACACAGTTGCCAGCCTGCTGCAAAACGAAAGATAAATAAATAGAGATTATTTCTCTTTGCAATTTTGTTAATTAATTATTTGAAAAATATATAAAAAGTAAACTCGTTAAATACTTCTCAGACAAATCACAGAAAACATTTCCTATTTTAGTGGTTCGTGCTAAATTCGAGGTGAACATAAATCAAAAAGTGCTAAAAGCAATTCAAAGCTCTGCGAATTCCAATTGTTGTAAGCTTGAAGGGCTTTAAGCTCTGACCGCGAGCTTTTACCGTTCGCAGCACAGTGACGTGCGCTGATAAGGGGCAAGAGCTAGTCGATAAGACTGCGCCAATGACGTCAAGGGTAATACAAATGTCTTGATTAAAAGGAAACAACTAGCAGACTGCCTAGGCTAGGTATAAACCACTAAGAACGGTGCTCGCGGCTGTCAGTGCTAAATTAGTTGGGCTTTGAAGAGCCAACAGACAACAGCGAGTCATGTCGATGGTGTGGATTGGGGCCTTTAAGGTGGTCATGATAGTGGGCACCACCTGGTTGGTGGTGAAACGGTAAGAAAGCATTAGCTATGCTTAGCATCGATTATAGAATATAACACGCTCTCACCTCACTCACGCACTCTCTCATGCTCTCGCTCTCCCTCTCTATCGAACCACAGGAACGCTTACAGTCGAAGAAGTCTACAAAGATCGCGACCAGTTCGCTGCGCTTGTGCGCGAGGTAGCCGCACCGGATGTCGGCCGCATGGGCATCGAGATTCTGTCTTTCACCATCAAGGATGTCTACGATGATGTGCAGTACTTGGCCTCGCTGGGCAAGGCGCAGACGGCGGTGGTGAAGCGTGACGCGGATGCGGGCGTGGCGGAGGCCAATCGTGACGCTGGCATCCGGGAGGCCGAGTGCGAGAAGAGCGCCATGGATGTGAAGTACTCGACGGACACGAAGATCGAGGACAATACGCGCATGTACAAACTGCAGAAGGCCAACTTCGATCAGGAGATCAACACGGCCAAGGCCGAGTCGCAGCTGGCCTATGAGCTGCAGGCGGCCAAGATACGCCAGCGCATCCGCAACGAGGAGATCCAGATCGACGTTGTCGAGCGCCGCAAGCAGATCGAGATCGAGTCGCAGGAAGTGCAGCGCAAGGACCGTGAACTCATCGGCACCGTCAAGCTGCCCGCCGAGGCCGAGGCCTATCGCGTGCAGACAATCGCCCAGGGCAAACAGTAAGTGAAGCAAACGATGACTAGCTCAGATCCCCTACACTCGCTAAGAAACTTTCAAGTTCCTGCTCAACTTGGCTTGGAAGAATAGAATTACAGATAATTCAAATATACATCGGGTTCGATATTCGAGCTCAGTTCAAGCTAAAAATAGATTCTTGATTGCCTACTGATATCATTTTGCCTTGCACAACGAAGCGTATACGTAATATGCATATATATGTATATATATTTATAATTATATTTACATAAAACTGAGATCACTTGCCCTCATATTCAGTATTCCAACTTTATCCATATGCTCATGCATATTTTTAGTCTACAAATTAAATTCTCTATTATATTTACATATTTATATATTGCGCAAATCCTTGGGATTAGCCTTACTCCTGACCAATTTTATAGATATAAATAGTTTTATGTAGGGTAAGCGCGATTCATAAATGCAAATTGTGCTCCGTACCACATTTCGTATGAGTAATATTGAGAAACAGTTCATCTGGCTAACTCCCTTTCTATTCTCCTCTCCCCCCCCAAAACAGATGTCAGACCATTGAGAGCGCCAGAGCCGAGGCGGAGCGTATCCGGAAGATCGGCGCTGCGGAAGCTCACGCCATCGAGCTGGTGGGCAAGGCGGAGGCGGAGCGCATGCGAATAAAGGCGAATGTCTATAAGCAGTACGGCGATGCTGCCATCATGAACATTGTGCTCGAGTCACTGCCCAAGGTAAGAGACAGAGAAAGAGAGAGAAAGCGCAGGAGAGAGACAGATTAATACATTTGCATTTGATTACAGATCGCAGCAGAGGTGGCGGCCCCATTGGCCAAGACGGATGAGATCGTCCTGATCGGAGGCAACGACAATCTGACCAACGATGTGACACGCCTGGTGGCCCAGCTGCCGCCCTCGATCAATGCGCTGACCGGGGTGGATCTCTCCAAGGTGCTGTCCAAGATACCCGGAGCCAAGGCGTGAAACCTAATCGAATGGGATGTGCAGCAAATGGCAATGACAACGTAACCCCAAACGGAATTGCAACTGGAAATGACGGAACGAGAAGGACAAAGAGAAGGAGAAGGAGAAAGAGAGAGAAAGAGAGAGGGAGAGAGAGAGGCAACCGAAAACGAGAACGATAGAGAGAGAAGAAGAACCCATTTGTTAGAGCGAGCTGGCGAGCGCATTGGAAGCATCAATGGAATCGAACGATAATCTTACATATACATATATATATATATATATATATTACGATATATGTATATATAGCAAAATGTACTCCGATATTATGTGTGTCAGTGTGTGTGTGTGTGTGCAACAAAAAGAGAAACAACAAAAGAAAAGCAAAGCAAAGCCCCCCGCCCACCAAGAAGACCTCTGGGAGTAGTTTGACAAATCAAATGACGAATCCGATCAAACTAAAGCTATTGCTAAATATAAATACTAAAAAAAAATAAAAAAAAATAAAAAAACAGAACAAGAAAGAATTAAGCATTTCGCACGCATTCGCAAACGCATTTTGTGGCCTTTTCTCGATAAATAAGCAAAAATTACCGATACCAAAAAAAAAAAAAACAACATTTATACAAAAAAAAAAAAAAAACAAATGAAATGAAAAAAAAAAAAAATAGTATGCTAGTTGCATACATATATAGATACACCCACACTCACATATATGTATATTTATATATTTACACATATTGACGTACACTCACGCACGCATACGCACAGTTGTGTGTGTATGTGTGTCTAATTGTATTTTAATTTGTATTTGTATTTGTCACCATTTTTAGTTCGTAAGCTCAACTACAGACGCACAAATGCATTTGCATACGTTAAGTGTTGATCAGTGCCATCAAACGCATTGCTTGGTTGCTATCCAACACTGCACTCAAACCGTTTAACAACACTACAACTACAAGTACTGCCTGATAGATCGACAACGACAACGTCCCACTGTGCCAACCCAGGAACCAACAGGCACTCTAACACACACACACACACACACACACTCACGCACACACTCACATACACGCACACACACCCACATTCAGTTCAATGACGCCTCAGTCGCAGCCGTTCTTCCACATTCACACACGAAATTTCCCTTTTATTAAAACATAAATTTAGTTAAAACAATTTTTTATGTATGTCCAGTCTATTTGTCCCTCTTAACGAATAAAAAGAATCTATAAATATATACGTATAGAGAGAAAGAGCTAAAATAAAAAAAGTTTTTTTTCCATATATTTATTATTATTATTTTTTTGCTTTATCCTAGTTTTGGTTTTCTAGTATAATTCAACGGGGCTGCTAAACTTCGCTGCATTACGAAATCTGCGAAGCAATTCTAGAGTTTTCCTCGAAAAACGCAAGCAATAATTGATGCGATTGTTACTGGGTCGGATGAGATCGATTCTGAGCTCCAACATAATTCCATCAAGTTTTCATTCGAGTTGAGCAAATCTATTAGGCTAAATATTGTCAAGCAATCAAGAAAGAATCTCGACTAAACTTTAGGTGTCTATAAATTATCTAGGTATATGTAGAATGATCTTCAATTAGTTTGATCGATCGTGAGTCAAACAAAAACTCCTTACTCCTTCTCACTTATTTCTTTACTCTATACAATTCTGGGCTTCAACTTCAATCAAAATTGTATTGAGGACTACTTTAGATTGCTCAGCAGATCTAGACAATTCAGCACAGTGAATGCAGCCCTGTTAAGAGAAAAGAGAAATGAAATTCCGATAACGAAAATTGTTAAGAAAGAAAAAAAGAGAACAACAACAACAACAACAATAAGAACAACTAGATTAACCGAAGAAGAATCTGCAACGTAAACGCATTTACACACAATTCAGAACAACAAAAGTATAAAATATATATAACAAAATATATATATGTATATATATATATACATATATAAATGAATATATATATATTTTTTTTCTATTGTATATTAAGTGCAAATAACTTAAATTGATGTTTCACAGTGCAAGAGAATAATGTAACTAAATAAATCGAATCTAAAATTTTGTGTATTTTGTCGTAAATAAATAAATTGAAAAGAAAAACAGAAAAACACATACATATATGCACATATGGCAAGTCTTTTACTATGGAAACACTCGGCTATATAGTTGGTCACTCAAATCTTTATTACAAAACGTTCATATACAAGTAAAATACATAGACATACGCATACACAGTTGTAAATATATCAATATCTAAATACTAGCTTACATACTATTCATACAGATAACAAAAAAAAAAAAAAAAAAAACCAAAAATAATAATAAATGTGTTGGCTTAGGGCTATGTCCGTTGGGAATCGGACTGATATTGGTGTATACTATGGTATACTATGCTGGTCCAGCGTTATCAATAGATATATTCTGTTGCAGTTTAGGTACACACAAGCCTAGGCTACGAGACTAAATAGTGCTACGACACTTACAAGCTATGGACCAATCCAGTGACTATTTACTCGCTACTCGCTACTCGCTATCCCTTAGGTCCCACTCGTTACTCTCTACTCCCATCCTGTCACTCGCTACTTGCTAGTTGCTATCCATTCTTGGCACTTGCAATGCTCTAGCAATTATTCGCGTTACTCGCTACTCGCTAAATGATACACGTTAACAGTTATCCCTTAGGTCCCACTCGTTACTCTCTACTCCCATCCTGTCACTCGCTACTCGCTAAATGATACACGTTAACAATTATCCCTTAGGTTCCACTCGTTCCTCGCTACTCCCATCCTGTCACTCGCTACTCGCTTGTTGCTATCCATTCTTGGCACTTGCAATGCTCCAGCCATTATTCGCGCTACTTCCTACTCGCTACTCGCTACTTCCTATTCGCCCTGCGCTTTTAGCTTTTCACTTCGCGACTCTCATTACTCGCTACTCTCTACGTGCTACTCGTTACTCGCTATGCTTTACTCGCTATTGTCGCAGCCACCCTGGGGGCCACTCGTCTAAATGCAATGCTCACAATGCCCGCATCTTCACTGGCGATTGCCAACATTGAAGGGTCACATTTTATCGGATCCACAGAGATACCAAATGGTAATTGAAATTCTCTCAAAAAAAAAAAAAAAAAAATAAAATAAAATAATAATAAGACATAAAATAGATGTTTAACAGCTATGTAAAAACAGCAGATTGCGAGATTGGCTGGCTCAGTCCGAATACTTTTCTTTGAGATCCTTGCGCAGTATTTTGCCGGTCGGATTCTTGGGCACCTCATCGACAAAGATGACGCCGCCCTCGAGCTTCTTGTAGTGTGCGACACGTTCCGCGACATACGCGGCTATCTCCTCGGCCGTTGCCGTCTCGTTCTGGCGCAGCACAACGATGGCTCGCGGCGCCTCGCCGTTCAGCTCGTGGGGTATGCCAAAGACGGCTGCCTCTAAGATCTTCGGATGGTCGCGCAGCACCGCTTCCAGCTCAGCTGGCGGCACCTGAAAGCCCTTAACCTTGATCAGTTCCTTCATGCGATCCGTTATATAGAAGTAGCCATCCTCATCGAAGAAGGCCACATCGCCCGTGCGCAGCCATTTGCCCGGAAAGAAGGTCAGCTCGTTGGCCTCCGGATTGTTCAAATAGCCGGACATCACCTGCGGACCGCGCACGCACAGCTCCCCGGTCATGCGTGCTCCCACGCCCTTCAAATCGGTCGCATCCAGGGGCACGATCTTGGCCTCCGTGCTGCCAGGCAGCACACCTGTCGAGGCGTACCGTGTATTGCCCTCGGGCGTCATCAGGATAACGGGCGATGCCTCCGTCATGCCGTAGCCCTGCATGAAGCGCGTATTCGGGAACCTATGTCAGCAGAGTGGAAGCGGAATTAGCTATGTAGATGATATACGTATGTAGAGTCATGTATAGCACATATAAATATATATATCTAGCCTGATCGGAGATTAACCTATGCATAGCAAAACATTTTCCGGCAGTTAAATATAATGAACTACGTTGAAATTGTTGGGGTAAGACCCAAAAGACCTTTCAATAGATCGGAAAGCTAGCAGTTCGCAGAATATATAAAATTTGATATAGTGTGAGAGATCGTTTCTCTAGTTAATAATCGAAAGGAGAGATTTTCCGATAAATGGCGTCAACCTGACTCACAATACTTATAAAAATTCGTCAAGCAAAAATGAGTTATCATTATATATCGAAAGTACTTATCGAAATATATCAATAAAACCTTAACAAGCTTACGAACTAATGCGGCAAACATGAAGTTGAAATGGAGAGATTATAAAAGGGCTTACTAAAACTTATCAGCTAATTCACAGAATCTTATCAAGTGATTAACAATGTGTAAATGGCTCTGTAACAGCTTACGAGGAGACTAATGTGCGCTATCAGCAACTTATCAAAAGATTACTAGTGTGATTTTTAGAGCATCTTGTCAGACAAACAAAGGGGCTTCAGGTAACTGTAAATAGGTTTATCACAAGTTGGAGATTAGCAAGAGATAGCCCACATGTGGAATAATAAGATATAAATACGACGCACTTCAGAGATCTAACCACTTGGCTCAACATATAGGCCAAGGTAGGGAAGATTAAGAAGATGGTAGCTAGATCATATGTGAAGGATAACTATGTGGTTAAAGGATCATAGCGACAGGTTGAGATAACCCATATATGGAATAATAAGATATAAACTTCAGAGATCTAACAGTCTGCTCAACATATAGGAGAAGGTAACGACGATTAAGAAGATGTGACCCAGAGCATATGCGAACGATAACAATGGGGCTATAGGATCATAAATAGCGACAGGTTGGGATATCACATATGAGATAACACATATAAATAAGACGCATTTCAGAGATCAAACAAAGTTGGCTCAACATATAGGCCAAGATATTTGAAGGATAACTATGGGATGATAGGATCATAACGAAAGGTTAAGATAACCCATATGTGGAATAATAAGATATAAATACGACGCTCTTAAGAGATCTAACAAAATCTGCTCAACATATAGGACAAGGTGACGATGATTAAGAAGATGTGACCTAGAGCATATGCGAAGCATAACAATAGGGTTATAGGATCATAACGGCAGGTTGAGATAACCCATATATGGAATAATAAGATATAGATACGACGTACTTCAGAGATCAAACAAGATATAGGCCAAGATATGCGAAGGATAACTATGGGGTTATAGGATCATATCGGCAGGTTGATAAAGGCTTATCTAGAGCTCGGCTGGGCACGCTACTCACTTCTGCAGGAAGCGCTCGACGTCGTTTTGGCCAATGGGCGCCGCACCGGACATGACAACGCGCAGCGCTGAAGCCAGGTCCTTCGTTAGCTTTGGGTGGTTGATCATGAACAAGGCTGCGGCGAAAGGGAAACAAAAGTTCAATCAGTATGCAGCTACAGTAGAGCTGCTTCATGCAACAACTCACCAATGGGCGGCACAAGATTGAGGATGCTGCCCTTGTAGGTGTCGAGAGCCTTGATGAAGTCGTCCGGCTTGAAGGCAGGCAACGTGGCCAGCCGGGCGCCCTTGCCCAGCTTCGACAGCATGACCACGGTGAGGCCGTAGATATGGAAGAAAGGCAGCACCGCGGGCAACGTGTCCTGGAACTGGAGTGAGTCGATGGGCAGCGCATCCTCTATCTGTTCGCAGTTGCTGCTGATATTGTTGTGGGACAGGACCACGCCCTTGGGCAGCCCCGTCGTGCCCGAGGAGAAGGGCAGAAAGACCATGTCATCAGGCGTCGCATCCTTCGGCGGGCACAGCTCGTCGTAGCGCACATTCTCCGTGCTTATCAGCTCAAAGAAATCAATCGCTCCCGCCGGCAGCAGCTCCGTCTCGCTGCTGCGCACCACTGCGATGGGTATCTGCTTGCCAGCCAGCTGGCAGGCCTCCCGCAGCGCGGCATAGCCAGGCACGCTGCCCACCAGGAACTTGGCATTGCTAAACGTCAGCTGGCGTGAGATTTCATCTGCAAAGCAAAGCGTAAGATTAGCCCATGCTGAAATCAATTACCTAACTCTTATTCCTTATCCCTTATCCCATGTTGATTAGATTGAGTTTTCTTTATGTGGCATTCGTAAACTTTCGCTTTTGCAATATTAGCAACTTTTATTTTTCCCATATTTCCTTATACAGTAAATTACCGATAGTTTGAAATGGCAAGGGGATCAGTTTTTCTTCCGATTTACCTAGAAATTCAAATTAGGGATAGAATTTGCTTCGATTTTTTGCGATTTTCGAATTAACATGGTAAGAATTATCGAGACTCGACTGTATTTTATTTTTGATTCAATCTGTAGTCTTCTTGTTGGCATTCTTCTTCATGTGGCATTCGTAAATGTTTGCTCGAACAGCTATGTCCCATGTTTTTCTTCATACTTCCCGTCATTTGTCTTTCTTTGCACTGCTGTTATTCGCATGCCTAAGGATATATCCTAATCAATATCAATATTAATTTTAGCTTTCGTTTAATTATCATATTTTTCCGTATATCATTTTTTGCAGGATTTATCTAGACAGTTGGTTATCCCTTTTGGCAGAGGTCTTCTTCTTTCTGTTATTCCCCTTTCCGATTTGTGCATTTCTTATTCGTATAGATCTATTTTTATCCCAGCCTCTTAAATAATTCTTTTATGTCGCACTCAATGCGAATTATTATTATTTAAACTTGTGCTGAGGTCTCTCTACTATCAGTCAACCCACTAAGCTTGGCACTCCCCCATTTAATCCCTCCCGACCCCTGCTCACGACTTGCGTGTGTTTTTACTTGTTTATATTGTGTGGCATCCGTTTGTGTTAGAGCAGAGCTTAGTTAGAGCAACAATTGATAGACAGATGTGCGTCAGTCAGTCTTCGAGACGAGTTCATAACCTCGCGAATATAATTCGGGGTAATCTGGTACACTGATCTTTGGACTCGGACTACGCTCGCCCGCTCGTTAACTCAACAATTCCAGCTCTGATAAGGGATAATTAAACCAGATTTAATCGTATGTGAGCTTATCGCGAGTACGTCGCTCCGACGAACACGATGCGACGCCCACGTGCTGGCACCTCCCTCCCGGATCCTACCTGGCGTATAAATTGGATTGATTGTAGTCACAGCGAGACCAGCTTCGATAGCGCCCAGCGCTGCGATCGGATACTCTGGCATATTTGGCAGACAAATGGCAAGAATATCGGGCTTGAACAGCTTGAACTTGGTCTGCAGGCGCACGGCAAAGGCGGCGCTAGCATCGCGAAGCTGGGCGTACGTATATTGCCGATCTGTGATCACGCAGACCTGAAAGAGTAAAGGTGGGTGTGATTAGCAAATAGGAATTGATTTCTCATCCGATCAACGGAGTATAGAGTCTGAGAAAGTCTTAAAAAAATATATATAGGACAGGATTGTGAGATCTCATGGAAACAGTTTTGGAAGTAATGGAAAAAAAGATCATATATATACATATATTTGATCAAGGATTAAAACAACCAAATGAAGCAATAAAATTATTTTTCCACAAAGCTTAGTCAAAGATTATTTAATATAAAATATATTATGATATAAGTTAGGTATATTTTGAGATTTAACCGTTATATGCATGGATTTGTGGCACGATCAAAAAACCTATTTTTGTAGAAAATTGCTAAAAATCGTATTTCTATAATATGCCCCTCATAATATAGAACAACAAATAATAATATAGATTAGTCAGCATGAAATATAGATTCTATCTATAAAATTTGCAAACAACAATATTTTTTTTTAACTTATCATGAAAATATTATTTTATTTCTCTTTCAATGGTATTATAAATAGAATATTCTGAAAAAAGCTGACAAAAGTTCAACAATCTCAAACACTTGAGTGCAAAATTTTGGACAGACCTGTAATAAGGCTGATGTCGAGAGGCCGCGATAAGCGATGCGATGCTATAACCGATAATTATCGCAGCGATCTGCAAAGCGATGACATGACGGAGTAAAAGCTATCCTCAAAGAGGGAAACATTGAGAGTATTTAAATTGTAGTCATTGCGAGTGCTCAAATTTTAGTCTCAGTCGCAATGTCTTCAATGTTTTTCATCCGTCCAATACTATCAATACTTTTGATTATTTATAAATGGTTTTGAAACAAACTGTTCTTTAAGCTTGAATTGCGAAAAAGAACATACAATATTTCACCCACTAACCAACGGCTATTTAAGCTCAGCACGCAACAAAAACACACGCATCAGAAAAGCTTAATCATGCGATAAAGCGAGAAAGCGATTCAGAAATGCTTTCTCGCAACTCGCTTTACTTTTCGCTTTGGCTCTCTTCTCGCTTCGCTTGCACTCGGACATGCTTGAAGCGATTACATGCAAATCTGCATGCAGAGCTTTCTCGCACATTGTCACTCAATATTATCGTATCGCTTATTGCGGCCACTCTGACATCAGCCTAGTGCTTAGCATGGAAAATAGGTCATGGTTATACGAATTGAGTTCGATTAACATAGAATCGCCTGGGCCGCAGTAGAATCACACTTGAAAGTAAATAGAGGAAAAGTGAGGGCACTAAATGACAATTATTGGATTATAAAACGCGAATAAAATATACATAGATAAAGCGTTGTGATATGGTTGAGCAGTGCAAAGTGCTTATCGGACAAGAAAATAACTAAATTATATTGCATAGAGCTATCTCAGCCGTCTAAGACAAATGTATTTGATTTGTCCATGATTTAACTTTATCTTGAGTAACAAATTCCCTACAAATACATCATATATCTATATGACATACATACATATATGACAGATGGTAAAGTTGTTTACGCTGATCTTGATAACGTTCATTTTGCCCTCCATTGCCGAAGCTTTGGCTAGCTAAGAGCTTGACCTTTCTCAAGGCCATGTTTAAATGAAACCCGGTCTATCAGCAAAGGCCCTGTTTTAGACTTGGCTAGTAAGGCGGGGCTAAGGCGGACCGGCTAGTCGATGCTAATATTATTTGCGCAGCGCGAATTATAAATAAAAATAGACGAAAACAAGGGAACACAAGAGAAACGGCAAAAAACAAGCACATTAAAATGTCGAATTTTAAGAAATCAACTAAATTAAGCAAAATAACAAAAAAAAAAAAAAAAAAAAAAAAAAAAACAAGAAGACCATTTAAATAAAATTTCAAATAAAAAATAAAAACCAGAAAAATAATTTCGAACAGTTGACGCGCTGCTGCTGCGTTCCGCTCGAGCTGCGCCGCGGCCACTGATCAAAGTTCAGTGGGGCAAAGTACAAAGTCTGCATAAGACACAAAAGAGAGAACCAAAGAGATGATTACTCTGCGCTCGCGCTCTCCCATTCTGTGGCCAATGGCCATATATCCAAGTGTGTGTGTGTGTGTGTGTGTGTGTGACTGCATGTGTGTGTGTGTGTGCGTGTATCACTCGTTGTTTCGCACGTCGCGACGTTTGTTGACTTTTTCGCTGGCCAAACGCGACAACAACAACAAAGAGGACGACGACAACGACGAGAGCACAGTCAATCCCGCTCACCCACTGTCACTGTCACGCTCACACAAGAAGGCCAGGCCCACCGCAGGAACTACAAGCAAAGGCAAAAGCAAAAGCAAAAGCAAAAGCAAAGGCAAAAAGAGCAACAGATGATTTGCGGCTAATTGTTTTGAGCGAATGCAAATGCAAAACAATCGTAATTAGCGATTGTTAGCTTAGACGCGTGTGTGTGTAATTATATGTATGTGTGTGCGTGTGTGTGTGTGTGTTTGTCTCTATTTGATTGTTTCGGCACACCTATTATTGGACAATTAAAAACATATTAAAATCATGTTAGCAGACGCGCACAACGAATAGTTCAATGCTCTTGCGCGATAAGCTCAAGGGCTGTGTTAAGAGAGAGAGAGAGAGAGAGAGAGAGAGAGAAAGGGAGAGAGCAAATCAATTGATCTTGTAGCTAGCGCAAAAGTAGAACAAATTTGCTTCAGTGACTTGCTACAAGTCAAATTTTACTTAATTAAAAAGATTTTTAAATGATTAAATTAAGTGAAATAAAAAAGATAGTAAACGTAAAATTAGTTTCATTAAAATTATGCAAAAATACAAAATTTGAATATCAATAAAATTATAGAAAAATCTTAAGAACTTTTAATTTCTTAGCAGAGCTGGCATATAAAATAATCGAGATCCAAATCAAAATTGTAAACATATATTGAGAACTATTCAAAAATATTATAAACTAGAGTCAAAGAGGTCTATAAATTTATAAATTCAACAGCATGCATGGAACTGATTATTTATAAACTCTGGATGTCGTACTAACTAGCTATATATGTATATATACATATATATTTATACTTATAGAGGTCTCACACCATGTAAATCTCTAATACCTAGTTGGAGAGTAATAGATCTGTTAGAATATTTTTGGGGCAGCTGAGATGTCTGCAAAAGCACAGAATAAATAATGTAGCTCTTTGACTCCAAAATAGTAAAGGGCCGAAATATGATGATAAAGAGTCATCTAAATTCAATCTATATAAACGTCAACAAGCCTCTGAACTTTGTTTAGCCCGCTTATCTTGCGTTGCTAATTAAAAAATTTACAAAATTCAAAGAATCGAATCGCAGGCGCCTGAGAATGTTTTACGAGTATTATACGGCATGGAGTCGTATTATTTACAGGCTTATGACCAACTATTATATATATATATACGACTATATATATGTACAGACATATAAACAAGTATGAACATATTTTGATCGAGTTGATGGAAACAAAATTTCAAGTTGCTTAGAATTGTTTCTGTAAACTATTCTCTCTCTCTCTCTCTCTCTCTCTCTCCCTCTCCATCTCTGTATTTATATATATGTATTTACATACTATATCTTGAACTATATAGGCCATGTCATGCATTTTATGGCGAAACGAGACTGCACGCTTTACCATATATAACGAACTTGAGGCAATTTGTGTTCATTTTGTTGTTGCTTTTGTTGCATGGCGAATCGACATTTAATTGGAACAATTCGCACTTTGCACCCACTGTGCAGCTAACTAGATTTCATATAATATATTTGTATGTGTGTACGTGTGTGCATTGCATTTAATTCAGCCAGACGAAGTCTAAAGTGTGCACAAGTCGCCGTTTGCGCCTTACGTGCACATTTGAGCAGGCAAACCCTGATATTGCCCCACTGTAGTAAGCTAATCAATTTCAATGAGCGACTTTTGCACTTTGATTTCGTGGCGGAGGGGCCGAGTCAGCGGTCAGGGCGGCTGCAGCGGGCGGTTTTTGTTGCTGTTGTTGTTTGTCGCCTTGGTGTGGGCGGGGCGCGTGGGCGGTGTGCGGTGCGCGGTGCTTATGCAAGCCCGACAGTTGCCTCGATCATGCGGCTATTTATAGTCGCTCGTTCGCTCTACCCCTCCCCACTTCATCTCTCTCTCTCTCTCTCTCTCTGTCTCTTGCTGTCTGTCACTGTCCTACTCGCCTCTTGCATTTTGATTTCTCAATTCCATTATCAATCTCTTACTAGTTGCATTTTTGTCTCATATACCCTGTTCGCCAAGTAACGTAGAGTATATTCGATTTGCATACGCTTTGAGGATATGCCACGCCCACATATTGAATTATTCTCTAGCAGAAGCATTAGCTTTTGAGTCGAGAATCAGCACTTTAAATAGATGAGCTTCAATTTCTATAGATCAATTCAAAGCATTTTAAACAGAGTATGATGTAGTCGTGTATACCCTATAGCACATACTCAGTCTATTATTCAAACTGACTTAAGCTATAGTAGGGCAAAATAAAAAGTGTGAAATATTTTAGCAATAAAAACTCTAAATTATCAAAGATTCTTATAAGTATATACACAGTATATCCTATATATTTTAAGTATATACTATATAGTGCTATACAAATTGGTTTAATCAATCGAGATCTTATTTATGTAAGCATATTTCAGGTATTTTGAAAACATGGCACCTACAGGGTATCTGCTAGTCGAGCACTGCCGTCTGAAATAGTTGGCATACGTCATAACTGCGCTTTATCCCTTGCATACCCCTCGCAGTCATTGTTGCTCTTATCGGGCATGTAAAGCAATTTGATGCCTTTTCACAGTCGACTTGAACTGGTCAAGGCCCCAAGCGAAGCGCTACAAATGGGCCCTTCCTTTCTCTCCCTTTCTCTGTCTCTCTCTCTCTCTCTCTCTCTGTCTCTCTCTAAGTATAATACACATATATAACCATATCATTAAAATAGACGCATATACATATATATATTATGGGTATTTCCATTATCATTCATGTATGACATTCCCTTATCTCAAATTTTTCAGTGTGAAGGCGTAGTTCGCACTATATATTTTATTTCACTTTCGCACTTATCTACATAGGTATTTTTGCTTACGGGGTACACAATAGACTAAGCACATCTTATCTGGCGAAAACAAGAGCAACAAAGAAATGACCCATATAAACACCTGTGCTAGGCAAGATGTCGCCCGCAACCGATAGATCTGAGCTAAGCGAAATTCCAGGGAAACTTGTGAATGCTTTCGTGATTCAAGTCGCGCAGTCCAATCAAAATTTACATGCGACTTATCGACTCGATAGCGACTCAGCACAGAGTGCCAGGGAAGAATATATAAACAGACACGCATATACATATATACATAAACATATACATATATGTACAGGTATACACCAGGTATTGGCATAGGTTCAGGTTCAATGAAATGGCATAAACAAAAATCAGACTAACGAAATTCAGTTATAGTGAAACGATAAGACATTGGGTAAGGGTATAGTAAATAGGTGTACGAACTAGTTGATAGTTGTCCCAATTTCCAATAATTGCCTAGGCTCTATAAATCACTTCGATCTACCCCATCAATTGATAAGATGATATATCAGTGGAGATTTCAAGTAGCTGCTTCAGTTCAATTGGCTCTATCTAGAACTTAATTTGTCCATAGGATATACATAGAGTGTTTGTATTATATATATGAACTTCAGATCGAGCAGCTGGTAGTTGTGGAATACTCGAAAATTACTAATAACACTCCATACAGCCAAAGACGTAAATTGCTTTGTTATTAAATTCCAGACTAAACTGGAGGAATACATATTTATTTTTTCAGTTTTAGAATATCATAGAATTTTTATAATCTACAGAAACTTTCAAATTATATTTTTTAATCAATCAAAAAACATTTCAAAGCACAAAACAAAAAAAACATTTTTTTTCTTCTTAAATTATTTCTCCGTAATATTTCGAATGTAATGGATCTTCCATTTTATTTTCATAATATTTTTCATATAATTTTATATCTCATTCTCATTCTCATTTATGAATGATATATGTAAATCTAGTTAAATTATTGGAATCTTGAAACAACACTTATGAAAGCACTCGAAAAAAAAATATTAACTGTAAAATATCAGATCATGATCTCACCAACATTTCGGATGCAAATTATACGATATGAAGTTTTCTAAAGTATTTGAATTTGCATTTATAAACCCTAAAATGTAATTAGTTTTAATATGTAAAAATATATATTAGCTATTTCTCACTCACGAATCGTTCGCTTAGTAAATTTCTGTAGTCATTAACATTTTTTTTTTTTTATATTTTCAACCACTATAAACACTATTTTAGTTCGTTAGGCAACACTGCTGTTAGTGGAACTACACTTACCGCTGCCGTGGAGTTCTCCCACTTTTTGAAGTCGCGCCAGACGTACTCGTGCAACGGCACATTTTGGATCTTGATGGGATCGTAGGGCGAGGTCTTGTAGTAGCCATCCTCGGCATTGTAGTGCAGCGACTTGTCCCGCTCGCTGATGCTCTGGGCGCGCTCAACGCTCGCCGTGTTGCGCTGCCTGCGATTCGTTGTGATTGTGCGGGCGCAAGCGTTGGCGGCGCTACGCAGACGCAGCATCTGGACAGCGACTGGATACATTTTCATTGATTAAAGTTCGACCCTCTTTCGTTCCGCTCCTTTCGCTCTCACTCTCTGTCTTTGTTCACGCTCTTAGGAACGTTAGTTTCAACGGGAAGTTGCTTAAGTTGCGTCTGAGAATTTGTTTTGACTGTTGTTTCGGCGTTGCTCTACTGCTGTTGCTGCCTGTCTGTCTGTCTGTCCACAAACACGTCTGTTGCTTTGGAGTGCTGAGGCACGACTGCCTGTTGGCGTCGCAGCGGCCGCGTTGCCGGCTCACCGGCAAGCCAAAACACGCTCGCACACACTCACACACTCAGGCAGGCACAAGCGCAGGCAAACAGATCGCGTTGGCGTGGCAAAGGGGCGTCCGTTGTTGTTGTTGTTGCTGTTGTGCTGCTGCTTCTCTTTATTTTCTGTTTTACGCTGCGCACTCATCTGCGCCTACGCGTTCATTTTCAAATGCATATTCTTGTTTTTGTTACCTTTACATGATCTCACTCTCACTCTCATTGCATCTCTCTCTCTCTCTATCTGTTTGCTTCTCTCGCGCTCTCTTTGAGCAGCGAACGCTGCTTACACTCTTCTTCGTTCGACTGCCTGCATAACTGTAACTGTAAATTAGTAGCCAGTGCAATTCCATGCTTATATTTGACACTCAGTATGTACATATGTAGGTATGTGTGTGTGTATGAATTTAGTAAATATTATTGGCATCGCTGAGGTAGCGAATGTTTCTTTGCAATGTATTCGCATGCATGAGTGCGTGTGTGTGTGCGCGCATGCATTTCTCTCTTTATGCAGTTACTTAACACAAAAACAATTATACGTGTATGCATGCGTGTGTGAGTGTGTGTGTGCCTGCATTTTTAAAGAAAATAAATGGCATTCTTCAATGTGTGCGTGTGTATGTGTGTGTAATTGTAGAGCACAATAAACGTTTGCCGATTATTATTTTGAATTCAAGCTAGTTACAGATGTTCCTATCGAGTACGAGTATGATCGGACGACAGAATACCCTGTAAAAATTCGGATAAGCGCTTCAGTCTATAAAATCTGATGTTAATAAACAAAAATTTACAAACAAATCAAACGAACTCTATTTATAGACCCAATATTTGATTATTTCGACTCATATAACGCTATGCTTTTTATGGCTGATTGAGTTTTATATGACCCTCTGCGGTATATAGAAAATCTGGAATGCTTCACCCCCTACTCCCACTCTCAGTCCACTCCTTATCCATGCCACACATCAACAACTTTATTACAAATGATTTTATGACACATACATGCATACATATGTATGTATGTATGTGCGGAGTACGTAGGAAGAAACGCACTGATAAGCGTTATCAGCCTCCATTGTCTTCCAGACTTTGTTTCGGCCTTGTGGGCATGACTTGCACTGTCGCTTATCGGGACGCTAACGGGTATTGTTATTATGGTAATTAAGCTTAGATGCCCGATTGCGGGTGATTAGCGTAGAAAGTATAAATCAGGTAGATTCTGGTCTAACCGGTAATAGAAACTTGGATTACGCCCGGGTCCAAAGTCCTCTGGAAGCGTGAGAGGAAGCGAGAAACCCCGAAACTCGCTGCTCGAAATTGGATGTGTAGAAAACCGGACCTAGGCATGGGCCTCTCGCCTAGGCCTTTCTTCCCTTCGGAGGGCATTCACCCTTGTTAATAGCTAAAGCGCTGACTGGCGGCCAGTTGCACAACTAACCTTGACAACGGATCGCGGCTTTGTCAATAACAAACAAACGCCCAGGTATTTGTAGCTCAAGGCCATTTCCGCAGCCGTTATTTGCTGTCTCAGCTTAATTTACAATTGTCTCACTTGCCATTGTTTTGCGTTCGCTTATGTTCTTAGATTCTCTTCTTCTTCGTTTTTCGAATGCACTTTTGCTGGCCCAGTGTCGCATGCTTCGTCACAGAGTTGGCCACAATCTCAGCTAGACAAAGAAAGTTTGCAAATCTAACTCGTGTTTTTTTTTTTTTTTTTTTTGGAATAACTGTGAACTTAATTCGTCAGCGCCTATCGATCAAATTGCCCGATAAAAGAAATTGCTATAAATGCAGTCTGAGTCAAGGCAAATGGATAGTCCAAAGTGCGTGTCAAGTGACTAATACATATGTACATATATAAATTGACTACGTATGTGCATGTACATACATATATACTCTTCTTTTAGCTATGATAGGGCCGCGCGCGCTCGCATTTGTGCAAATTGTCGCAATTTTGGTTGGCATTTTTTATTAAATTATGCACAAATTGGGGTAACTTGAATCAAGAGAGAAATAAAAAAGTAGTGTATATCATAATTCAGTGTCAAGCTGCAGTTATTTGGGAGAGTAAACAGAAATACAATGCGCTCAATGCTGATTACAACTAATCACAATAGCTGTTGTTGGTGCTCTCTTAAGTGCGCTCTCTGACGCGCTCCCGCTCCTCTCTTTGCCTGCTTTTGCTTACAGCTCGCTCTTCACTCCCTCTCTCTATCTCTCTCTCTCTTTCTCTGGCAAATGCATACGCAGGTCGTGCTGTTGCATTGGCCCCCAGACACTTGTTTACTTTCTTGATGCGCTAAACTTGTGTTTTGTGAACTTTGGACTCGGCGCACGGCGCTCAGCGTCAACGCCGTCTAAATTGTTGGCGTCTTTGCTTTCAGAGTGACGGGTCGCTCGCAGTCGCAGCGGATACAAATATAAATAAATAAAATAATCGTAATGCGATGCAAACCAGTTTACCGTTTGCTCATGTTGTTGTTGTTTTTCTTCTTGATTTCGCTGCTGTTGCGACTGCTGAGTGTTGTGTTTGTTGCATATGGTTTCTTTTGCATGTGTGTATGTATGTATGTATGTATGCCTGTGAGTCTGTAAGTATGTCGACAGGAATGTAGATATGCGTTTCTGTATGTCCGTCTGCATGCATGTATATATGTATATTTACCGTGTTTTGTTTTGCGTGCGATCAATTACTGTTTGTTTTAAGATCGCTGCTGAGTGTTAAGTGATCAATTTAAATAGTAATTTTCACACGGCTTTTTACTCATATTTATATATTATCTACATTTACATATATAACTTTACATAGATAGCTGCCACAGGTGCCACACGCAGTAATCGGTAATCGATGAATCTTTAATCGGTGTATTGGCCAAGCTGCACGCCTGCTGCCGCCTACGCGTCTCTTGGAACTGGACAGCAGATTCGGGACCTGGTTTGAGGTTATTTTGCCACCCCAATGCAAAGCGAAAACCCACCCTAGGTAAAGGGAAAACACAAGTGGGAAAACGAAAGTGACGCAGGCGCAAGTTTTGGCTGACAAACACCAGATGGAGCTACCTCAAAGCTAGTCAAGAAAAAGCGCAAGCTGAGCTTTCGTTGAGTGGTTGCAAACCAGACCGAACAGCTGGCGAAAGCTACCGAAAAGCACAGCTCAAGCTTGAGCTTGAGTTGCAGCTTTGCCTACAGCTGTTCCATCCACATTCAAAGAGAGTGGGCGCGCGACTCAAAGAGCGGCCGAGAGCGCGAGAGCGAGTTGAGGACAAAGCGTTTGTGCTCGACGCCGCTCGAGTTCGTAACGGGTTCGTAGTCTACTTTTAGGTGCGTAGCCGCGCGCAACATATTTGAGCTAATTCTCAAGCGAATTCCTACACTGAAAGCGTTGCCCAATAAAAAAAATAAAATAAAATAAAAAGAAATAAGAAAAATTCAATTCTTGTGCACTAGGTTAAAATTTTTTGTATTTTTTTATACATTTTTTTTGAAAACACATTAAAAGAAAACCCAAATAAAACAGAATAACCAAAAAAGTGGCGCGGACTTGAAGCCTGCAAACCTGGCCAAATCCACGTTTAAGTCGGCAATTGTTGCACATAGCCGAACCCTTTTCCCGTTACACTCCCACAATATTTGCATACTTTTTTTTGCGGTGTAAAAATATAATAAATTGTATATATACATATGTATATGTATGTATATACATATATATGTATGCATAGTTATACATATATACATATATATATATATATATATATATATATATATATATATATATATATATATATATAAATTAAAATTTTTAAATTTATTATATTTATGTTTATAGTGGAAAGTAAAAAACAAAGTGAAAAGCGAAATACGCGTTACAAGTAATCAAAATTAATATAAAAAGCAAAGAAAAAAATAAACACAAAAATATAGAGGAAAAACCAAAACAAGTGGAAGACAGCGAGAGCACAACAAGAAAGGAAGAACCAGGCAAGAGCAAAGCAAAGCAAAGCAAAAAGGAATACATTATTATTATCCACATAAAAGCAATCAAAAAGCAACAGCAACAAAAGGTAATCACTAAAGAGCCATTGCCGCTAACTTACACACACACACACAGGCAGACACACAAACGTACAGAGAACTCTGCCTCTCTCTCTTTTGGTTGAGTACTTCATGTATTGTGTAATGAAGTTGAGTTCGCCTGCTCCTGCTTCTTTTTACTTTTTCTTCATTTTTTTTTTTTTTTTTTTTTGAAATTCGCCGCTAAAAGCGGCGTCAACGTCGACGGCGACGCCAAGCGTAATGTGCGAAAGTTACGCATTGCGTGAATGTGCGAGCGAGAGGCATAAACACACTTGTAATTGTTGTCTTAGAGAGTTCTGCTGCTGTCGCTGCTGGCGGCGACGCTGAGCAAAAAATGTAAGCAAGATACAAAGCAAAAACTTCGACTGCTTTCGTTGTTGTTGTAGTTAGCTGAAATGTGTGTCAGTTGTTAAGGCATAAAGGAATGACAACCACACACACAGAGGCACTTATATATATTTAGATATACATATATATATGTATATATGTATATGCATACACGCATAGAGCACAATTATGTCAGCAAGAGGAACAGCAACAACAATTGGTCGCCTGCTGCTTTTTCAAGTGCAGCCAAAAACTATGCAACAGCAACAAAGAATCAAAGAGAGTCGCAACCAACGACGCCGTTGACGTCGACGTAGACAGTGGTGCAGCGGCGTTGCGGTTGCATAAGTGTCAACCGCACCACACGCGTACAGTTTGGCAGCCACTGCAGCTGAATGAAGTGCGCCAATGTTGCGTGGCTAACAAATACAAAAGGGTTAACAGTAAAAGCAAGAAGCAGAAGAACTAGAGAAAGCAGAAGAATGACAGCAGGCAAATAAAGCGGCAGCGACGCCAGCAGCGCAGTTGAGTGAGAGGCAACGTGACACAAACACACACAGCCAGACTTACAAGTGTGAGTATGTGTGTGAGTGTGTGTGTGTGTGTGTGTGAGTGTGTGTGTGAGTGTGTGTGTGTGTGTGTGTGTGTGTGTGTGTGTGGGTTAGCGAAATGAGAGAATAATAAAACAGGAAACTGAAACTGAAAACTACTTAAATATTTAAAGCAATTGCAAAAAAGGGCGCCTGCGTGTGTGAGTGTCTGTGTGTGTTAAAGTGTGACAAACACAGTGACAAAAAAAAAAAAGTAAAGAAGAAAAAGCAAAAGCCAAATGACAAGCACATCTATGGGCAACAACAACAGCATGAGAGAGAGAGAGACAGAAACTGGATGATGGGTCAAGCAAGTAGGGACCGTGCATGTGGAAAGGAAGGCGAGGTGTCTGTGTGCGTGCGTGCGTGTGTGTGTATGTTGTTTCTTTTGATAGGCTATTTTACTGTTAACATAAAATAAATAAATAAAATAAAAAAAGCCAACTCTTGTGACAGCAACAGCATGAAAATTTGTTGTTGGCGTTTCTCGTTTCCCATTTGTTTCTCTTGGTGTATATTTGCTCTCATATTGCCTGCAAAACCCGCTATTCTGCGTATTTACATACCCGTCAGCATCTGACTGAGAGATTAACACTTGAAATGAGGTTAGTTGATTTGCATTATTGCATTGTTTTTGAAGCGGCATATGAAGTCTCTATATCCCTTTTCAATATGTTTTCGTTTTTGGCAGGATACTGGGGATATCGAAAAGTTTTTGTTCAAAATCAGCAAAAAGAAATTTCAATGATTTGTCGAATAATATTCTAGAATATTTAATGGTTATAAGGATAATATTCCAGAATAATCAAATATGGTTAATCATCCAGAATATTCAATGGAAATGTGGAAAATGTCACAAAAACTGTAGAGGAAATCGATATCAACGCTGATATCTAATTAACTACTTCATATTCCATACACAATTAGTCTATATATAACTTATACCAGATATTTATCATAATTATTTATGTCGTTAAATATCGATTGGTAGTGGAAAAATGGAAAATGCTATAAAAGTTGAGTACCAGGCCTATTACGGCGAATCGATATCAAACCCGATCTCTATTTGTTTTGTTTTTCGATAAAAATCGATTTTTTTAATCTCCCATATTATCGAAGCTAAGAATTATGATGTGTATGATTGAAATATTATATGTTGAGTATTCAAATTCTCTTTTGAGATCTCTCTACTGGTTATAACTGATAAATATCTCATTTATGATTTAATTATTCGAATTTCTTTAAAAATCGAAATTTCCTCATTTGTGATATCATCGAAGAGAAGAATGTAGATATAGATAAAGTGTGTTATTTAATGAATTTTTTCTTTCCCTTCCCTTGTCTCATTAGCATTTCTGTCTACATAGCAAAGTCGATAAATTAATTATCAAATTAATAAATAAATTAAGTCGATATATTAATAATTATATTATATATTAGATATTTATAGCTCTTTCTGACTATCACACCCATTCATTTTTTATCTCACTCTCACTTCTGTTTACAGGGTATCGCAGCCGCATTGCATTCACTTAGTAAACGTTTTAGATTTCTTTTTGCATATTTAATATGACATTCGTAAATGTGTTCGGTGCGTGCGTGTATGTGTGTGTGTGTGTCTGTGTGCGACAGTTGTTGTGCCTAATGAAGTGTAGCCCACGCTTATTGCTTGACTGATTCGTCTACATAGGCGACCCGAGCCGAGGCTCAAGCGCCTAGACTAACTGTTACCCTTGCCCCAGCTGAATCGAACATGTATATTTATTGCATAACCAGAGCCAAAAGCACATGCGGCGAGGCTCCAGCATGAGCCAAAACCCAAAAGCCAATCAATCAGTTTGGCCAATGAGATTGGGTCCCACGAATTGGGACGAATTAGGAGGCTTCGACTGGCGGCAGCTGCTTGGGCAGCCAACAGCAGGAGGTGGCAATGTAACCTACGGAATTCGGTTGTCCATTTATCTGCGATGACTGCTAGAAATTTACGCACGCCCAAATTGAGTTGCTTCATGTCGCACTGGCTTAAAGAGAGAGAAAGAGAGATAGAGAGAGAGGCAGGGAGACAAAAAGTGGAGTAAAGGAGAGTGACAAAGAAATGTTCACTTAATTCCTCTCCAGACATGTTAGAGACAGCAGCCTACAGCAGAAATTAACTTGTACGAATGACTTTCAAAATTTGCCTTAACTCTTTGGGACTTATAAACAAAGTTGGAGGATCGCTTGCCAAGATAAAAATTGATGGATTATGCGGTAAAAGCACTTTGAGCGCTACTCAGTGACATGCCTACATATGTATGTATGTGTGCAATTCTCCATATTTTGCGGAAGTCCCAAGATCTGTACTACCAAGACCAAGTACTACAAGCAAATCGAATTGGAATTGAAAATGTTTTTTGCCATATGGCTGACCTCATATGCCTTTTCATTTCGTATTTCGTATTTCCTATTCCTGCAAAGCTATGAGGCCACAAATATTTGCAATTTATGGACTTGATATTTATGCGAACGTGGATTGCGGGACTGTGGGGCTATGGGGCTGTGGGCCTGTGGGACTTTGGGGGGAGGGGGTCTGTGTGGTGTTTTGCTCTGGTACATGCATATTTTCGTTCATACAATTGTCACGTGTCACGTGTGCCGAGGGCACAAAAACAAATCATGCTGGCTGCAGGCTGTTGGCCATATCCGTTGGCCATATTGAAAGTCCATCTGCCTTCCGTTTCCTCTTAGCGCTCAACAGCTAACCGGCCGCTTCCTGCTTCCTGCATCCTGCTTAAATGCGCGACGCCTCCATCAATTTCCTATCCCACATAGCTTTTTTCTCTCTCTCTCTCTCTCTCTCTCTCTTTCATATTCTACTTCTTGCATGCATGCCGGTGCAAGCCATAGATGGTGACTTGGTGTGGGCGTGTGTCTGACCACCTGCTGACCTCCGCCGTTTTTGGCATGTCCTGTCCTTGTCCTTGTTGACCTTGTGTTAAGTGCTTGGCCCGAAGATATCGCCGAAGCTGCTGCTGCTGCCGCTGCCACTGCCGCTGCCACTGGTGCTGCGGCTGCCGTATCAAAACATGTTTATTAACAGTCTATACATGACCACGCCTCCTTTAGCTGACGCGCCCCCTCGTAGCCAGTGGCTGCCTTTTACGGCTCCCCAGCGGCACGAACACATGTGTATAGATCGACAGCGCCTGTCAAACCCCAGAGCGACAGTTTGAATAGCGCTGAGCCGGGCCATTTGAGGCGCCGCACCATGGGCCTGATCAACTAATTTCACGAGCTAAATGAAACATTTGCTTATTGAATGAAAGTGCTGTAAATGGGTCAAATTTGTCAAATTTTTTAAAGAGCTTTCGTTATAAGATATATTGATATATGTAGTTTTAAATTCTAGACTATAGCCAGAGTTATACACTCAATAGATTAACTAAAGACCGTTCGGTATAAGATATATTGATATAGTTTTAAATTCTAGACTAGAACCAGTGATATAACCTCAAATTCAATTGAATTGTTGTACAAAGTCAGCTCAGAGTCTGAGAGTGAGTTAGTTCCTCTACAATTGTAAGGTCGATTAACTCGACTTACATAGCCTTCGATAGAGTTTTGTAGCATTATATTCTAATCCCAATCCGGGACTTGCCAAGTAGAGACTGACATATTTATATAATGTAAATATATGGATTCAGCTGGAACTCAAAACACCCGGCTAAAGTACAAAAACATATTGCAAATAAGAAATAAATTAGAAATCAATTAAGAGAATTTTTAAAATGCAGTCGAGTCACGAGAATTCGAAATGGCAAGGGGATCAGTTTTTTTTTTTTTTTTTTTTTTTTTTACACAGAAATTCAAAATATCGAGATCGAATTTTTTCAAGGGAATAGAATTTGTTCGATTTATCGCGATTTTCGATATAGCGGAGTACAAATGATCGAGACTTGACTGTATTTAATTTACGTAGTTTCACAGAAAATGCTTAGTTTGAAGTCACAGAAATTAAAACTTGCAAACGCATTTTAAATATAAACTAAATTAATTAATTAGTATATGCTTATTATATGTTTGTTCCACAT